ATTCTATTCTATTCTATTCTATTCTATTCTATTCTATTCTATTCTATTCTATTCTATTCTATTCTATTCATGTATTTATAAGTGCTAGAAGGATTGTTAGATAAGGTTCATCTTTTTGCTGATGGCACAAAGGTGGGTAATAGAGTTGATGTTTCTGGGGGTATTCATACTAACCATTTTACCCAGTTATCTAACTGAATGCCTGGTTATAATGACTATAAATTCTGATCTTCAGTTTTATAACATTCCCACTACCATTTGATATTGCCACACTGTAGGAACTCTTGCTTAATAGCAATAGCACTTAGACTTACATACCACTCCACAATGCTTTACAGCTCTCTCTAAGTAATTTAGAGAGTCAGCATATTTTCCCCAACAACCTGGGTCCTCATTTCACTGATTTCAGAAGGATGGAAGGCTGAGTCAACCTTGAGCCAGTGGGAATAGAACGGCCAAACTGCTGGCAGCCATCAATCAGCAGAAGTAGCCTGCAGTACTGCAATCTAACCACTGCACCATTTAATACTAGACCTCTGACCCCAGTTTTGGCTTAATGTCTCCTTGTAGCATTCTCTCTATAGTTTCTGCATAAGAATCATGTCCAATTCTTGTCAGTAGTTATCAGCTTATATCACTTACAACAAAACAGCTATAATACAAACTCACACACAATCAGTAGGACCATAAAAATAAAAAGAGTACAGCTTGAAATTTTTTAGTATCCAAGTGTTGCATTTACTGAGAGTAGTCACATGATGTCAAGTGAGTTTTAAGAAAAATGAAAAACAGTAGCAATGACAATATAAAAATAACAATGCTGATAATAAATTTATAATCTGACTTGTATAATGGCAACTCTGAGGACCACATTCAGGTTTACTCCCTCAATTTAGAGTTATGCTACATTACTTTTTTGTATATTTTTTCTTCATTTTTTTAAAAAAAATCTATTACTGTACTTACCTCTTTTCCTAACAAAAAGGCGTATTTTTGAACTGCTTGTTCCAGTTGGATATGTGGTAAAGATACATTCATAGGAGCCAGAGAGCTCAAGTGTGACATTCTTCAGTTGTAGAACCCAGTGGTTGCATTCTAGGTTGTTTGCTACAGAATTAACCTCTTTGAAAGTCCTGCTGAAGTCAGTTGAACAATCACGGAAGCCTTTCTCAAAACTTGCTGTATTGTTATAGGCCGCTTCAGTATATTTTGTACCATAGAGAGGGTTATATACAGCTATTATTCTTGATTGACGATCAGCAGGTTTAGACCACTGAATCTGTGTTACATGGGTTTCTTTTCCTTGCAAGATGCTGCATTTTAGAGTCACATTGCTACCAGCCAAAGCATAGACAGTTTCTTCATTTGTAATTATAACCGCAGAACAACCTACAAATCAATATAATGGGCATATTATCGCAGTCATGTATAATAGTCATTGCATTAACTTAGCCTTCCCTTGTTTGATGCTCTCATTGAAAAAAAAGCTCCACATCCTTATATTTATGATTTATAATTTAAAACAGTCATAAATAAATATCATATAATATTTATATTATTTATAAGTAAGTATATTAAAGATTTTGGCTCTGTACAGAGGAAATAACTGTAGATGACAATGGCCCAAACTCACCCAGTTACCATCTAAAAGAGTAACTAATTCAGAGCCTTATCAAAGGTTGCACTGCTAATAATGGGTAGAAACCTGACAAAAACTAGATAAAAATTAAAATATTTAAGTGCAATTCATTAAAATGCTCCTCCCCATTCTATCACATTAGACTTTAACTTTTATGGCAAACTGTACAGGTCATCTGGAGTCACAACCAGGGGTGGGATTCAAATTTTTAAACAACTGGTTCTGTGGGCATGGCTATGTGGGCGTGGCCATCTGACTTGCTTTTTTTGCAGGCCCCTCTTGTTTTGGGGGCCTTCTGGGACTCAGGGAAGCCTCCTGGGGGAGCGTTTTTGCTCCCAGAAGGCTTCCCTAGGGCTCAGGAAGGAAAAAAATGGAGCCTGGAGGGGCGTGCAGCACCCCCCACGCTCCATTTTGGGGCCTTCTAGGCCTCAGGGAAGCCTCCTGGGTGAAGCAGTAAGACAGCGAGGGGAATCCTGGTACAGCTGATTCTAAGAACAGCTGATCATCAGAAGGGGGGAAAAAGAAATACCTTAAGGAATGACTGGGCAGGGAAGAATGCAGTCAGTGACGTCGGGCATGCATGTGATGTTGCGCATGCTCAATAAGGACTGACTGGGTGGGGAGGGGTGGGGTGGTCAGAGAGGGGCGGGGCCAGCCAAGGGCACGATTTGCCAGTTCTCTGAACTCACAGAATCATAACAACCAGTCCTATAGAACCAGTCCAAACCAGTAGAATCCCATCCCTGGTCACAACTAAGATTTTGAAAAAAACTGCATGCAGTCCTAATAAAATGCCACCTTTGCTATTTGTATAAATAGGTCGATGCAGTTACCTAGTACTCCTTCTTCCTCTTATTTTCCACACAACAACAATCCTGGGAGGTGGGTTAGACTGAGAAAGAATCAGTGGCTGAAAGTCATCCAGCCTACTTACAGCCTAAATCAGCACTAGATCTCACAACTTCCTGCCTTCAAGTCTGGCCTCTTTTAATTAAACCAAACTGGCTTTGTACTCTTAGTATAAAATTCTGCTTTCTTCTGAGCTCTAACATGGTGGGACTGAGAATTGACTGGAAATTTAAACAAGCAGGTGTATATGTCTAAACAAAAAGATATAAAAAGAGCAGTATAAAGAGGCCTGGAAATTCAAAGAATGGTTATTTTGTTCAGCATCTTAGTTTCAGGAAGCTGCTCTACTTTTGACAATGCTTGGCACAGGCAATTCTTCCTTGTAAGTATCTCTGGTTCATATGGAGGGTCAAAGTGCAACACGCAGGGCATTAAGAATAAATATTTTAATAGGTAACTTTTATTAATAGCTTTTTTACTTTAAAATGTGTTGCCACTCTTTGTACTTTCTCTTTCAAGTTAGGAATGTTCTATTATCAGGCCAAAGTTGTTAAGGCTGGCTGGCAGACATCTAACTGTTTGGTCTGTATCAGGCTAATATCCTATATAGAGAATCATCTGGTTACACTACCTGCTTGTCTTCTCATGCATGAGCAGGGGATAAAATCAGACTGTTAGCATCAAAAACATTTTTTTCTTGCATTGATTTAGATCACATCCCAGAATGATCTGCTGTTCATGCTCAATTAAACTGCATTGTGGGAAGGAGACATCATGTAAGCTTCACTATAACAATGCAGTTAACACAGATGGACAGTTCATATCCTCATTTTAAAGACATTTTTTCTAACATTTAGAGCAAAAGCTATATTTATAGGGGCACAAAAAATAACAAATAATTCAACTATTTACTGAATTATTAAGTAAATCAAGGGTCAAGCTTGATTCCTGATGACTTCCTGAACTTCTTCATGCAGCTTATTTTTACTTCAGATTTAGTTTTGCCTTTTTTTCCTGGGAGAGGTGGTTGATATATATTTTGTTTTTCTCCCAAACTCCTTTGGATTTCCCAATCAAGCCTACAAACTAGATTTCCTGATTGTATCTTCTACTCTAAGTTTGTTAGCTTATTTGGTTATCCACTAATGAGATTATTTCATTCTTTAATTAAGAACATTTATAGTTTAATCCCATAATACCAACAAACTTTTAATTCTTCACTTTTTAGAAAAATCATAATGCAACTAAACTAATTTGGTTCTTAGTAGAATAAACACCTTATAAGAGCAAAGATCCAACACTTTGAGCTAGAAAATATAATTTTGTATTTAAACAAAAACAATAACCATGTACACTACCTTGCACTCTAACAAGGAACTGAGAAAACAAATTTATACACCTAGATATCATCATTTTATGGAAAAAAACTTACCACGGAGGATACATACTAGGATCAGTATATAAGACACCTGAAATCCCATCTTCCGATTGTATAAAAAAATAAATACTGTTAATAACAGTCTGTCTCAGTATTCAACAACGGATAGATTCACTCCTTCAACAGCATTTTTTTTTTACTTTCTTTTTCGCAGGTTTGAGAAGAAACATACGTACAGGAAATGAAACCACCCACTGAGGGTGTTTTAAAAATGTAAATGCATTTTGACTTTTAAAAAAGATTAAATAAAATCGCATGCTATATTAACTTGTCCTACTCCCCAAATATTATTGACATGCAGAGTTTAGGAATTCAGTTCTCAGTAAAATATTCCATAGCAATCAGTGACTATTGACAGTAGAATTTAAAACTTATTGAAAAACATGTAGACTGATTAGTGATATAATATGCATAATAACAGTGGGTGTTTGATCATCATTAGTGCTCCTTCCCTCACCCTTCATTTCTGTGCTAGAAATTCAGCATTAGATACCTGACTCTACAGCAAGTTCTAGACTAGACAACTTTGGGTAGATGAATTTGACTTTTCATAGCAGTATTTAAATCAAGAAAAACTTTACCAGGAAACTATAATGAAGTCTACTTTTTTAGAAGTTTTAGGATGTGTTATTAATAGTGTACAAACATGATTATTAGGGATTCTTTTTTACTCTTTATTCTTTACACTGATCTACTTTTGTGGAGCATAGGTAATATAATATCTGAACAAAAACAAACCCAACGAAGGTCATTGGTGAACCTGGATTGCATAGGTTGGGGCCAAATCTGGAAGAATTCTTTTGTTTTTATGAGTTGTTGAAAGAAAGTTGACATAGCATGTGTGAAGTGCTTTAAACAATCTAAAGCCTTATATGAAAAAACTTAGAATGACTAAAGAATAGGGAACCTCTAACTTGCTGGCCTTTTTTAAACCATTAGCTCTTATATTATAGGGTATTAATTTCATGACACAAGTGTCTGTTTTCTGTATTGCTTTCTTCAGATCTCCTTCCCTTACTCCTTCTCTCTTATCTGGAGGAGAGCAAGAAGTCAACATATACCCTATCTACATGACTCACTAGAAAAATAGCTTCATCACAGTTATATTGATCCTATAACTATTCATCACAATTGGACATGACAGCCACACACAACATGATATTTGCCATGAACACAAGTGGTTTGATCTATCAGTCTCAGTAATTCGGAGGTCATAAGTTCCTATCCTCAGAGAGGCGTGCTGAAAACCATTATTCTTCTGCATTGGCTTTGAGTGGACCTATATGCTGACACTTGTCATACCCCTGGGAATTTACAAGTCAGTGAAGATAAGAGAAGAATAATTTATCTTGCTTAAGCTAGGACGCACAGGATAAGTAATTACTTAGATGTGAGATAAAATAAATCAGCAAAAGGGAATTTTTCAAAATACATTTTGGATTGCCAGTATTATCTTTTTGAGTGGCTCTTGAGCTTGGTTGCAGGGTTTTTTTTGTTTTTTGATTTGCAAATGTTGTATTATTCAAACTAGTAAGAACCACAGGGCTAGTGATTATCTTTTTGTCCGACACTTCTTTGCAACAATCACGAAAGTGTAGTGGTATCTGTCATGTAAGAGAGAATGCAGATTTTGTGCATATTCCCTCTCCTTCTTGGCATTGTATTTCCTTACAATCTTGAGAAAATCTATGCAAATCTAAAGTTCCAAAAGATCTTTTTCACTTTCTTATAAATGCTGAATTAATTATCAGTGAAACAAGAGTTTGTTTATGTGTTTCCATGTAATGGAATAAAGTAGGGGTTTCCAACCCCTGGTCCATGGACTGGCATTGGTTTGTGGTATGCCAGAAACTAGTCCATACAAAAAAAGGGAAACCCCATCTGCAGGATGCAGGCAGCTCATGAAACCACACCTCCTCTGGTCCATGGAAAAATCTCTCTCCACAGAACCAGTCCCTGGTGCCCAAAAGGTTGGGGGCCACTGGAATAAAGGATGTAATAAGGAATAGAACTAGTTCCCAATATACCCTATTCTCTCTCTCTCTCTCTCTCTCCCCCCCCTCTCTCTCCCCCTCTCTCTTTTTGCCCTGTCAAAATGGAGGTTTTTGTGGTTTTGGTTAGTTTATGTCTCTTCCCCAAAATAGTTTTGTTTTCATTTCCATCTTTTTTATCCCTCCTCCACTACCTGACATTTTATGCATGTACTTTGGATTTAAGGATGGCTAAAAGCAAAGACAAGCTATCTCTTATTTCCTGCATTCTGCAACTAACTTTAACAATGTTAACATTTTCTGGCATTGATTAGCTTTCCTAATCTGTCTAATTAGAAAGACTTCACAATCAGAGTTCACTTCCACGTTACTTCGGCAAATTTAGAAAGTGAAAATGGAATTGATATCGAAGTGCTCTGTGAAAGAAGGATCCAGTAATTATTCAGTTTATATTTAGAGATTATCCCCACTAACAATAAAGTATGTAGACAGGCTCCTACAGTGACTTCTATCCAGGGGTGGGATTCAACCGGTGTTACTGCCGGTGATTACGCTGTGTGCGCGTGTAAAATAACCTTAGGCTTTGCCTCCCAGACAGCTGAAAAGTGCTGCGCGCAGGTGCACAGTGTTCAAAAAGCTTCTTTTCCCCTGGTTTTTCAACCTCAGCTGTGCAGTGCAAAACAGCTGAGGGTGAAAAAGCAGGAAATAAAGGACAGGTAAGAGCCCGGGTGGGCGGGCGGGTCGAACAAACAACAACAAACACAGAACCGGTTCTGCGTTTGTTGCTCTTCAGAGCTACCGGCTCTGTAAAACTGGGCAGGTATCCCATCCCTGCTTCTATCCAACCATCAATTCAGCATTTAGGTGTTTTGGTAAACAGAGTTTATTACTAACATCCAACTCTACATGTTTTTATTACAACATTTCATAATACCTGCTGTATAGGTATCAGAAGAGACAATAAATGAACAAATACTTTCTTTCCTTTTGTTTAAAAATCTTACTAAGCTATACAGGTGGGGGACGAGCGGTCTGCCACCTCCAAGTGGTGTCCCCTGGATGCGCAAAGCCGTTAAACGCTGACCGTAACTGAGAGCAGACCCTCCGACGACAGGCCCACGTGACAGGCCGGCTGGAGTATTCAATTGCCGCATCAACATGGTGGAAACGTCCACTACAGAACACACGCCCAACATCGATCGCGTCAGGAACGAAGAAGTGCGTAGACGGTTCAACGTCGTGCCCATCCCCATGGTCATGAGGCAGTCCCGGCTACGATGGTTCGGCCATGTGAGTCGCGCCAAGGAAGAATCCATCATCAAATCTGCGATGAAGGTGACTGTTGGAGGCGCGAGACCGTGTGGTAGACCTAAGCAACGCTGGATGGACACGATCAAGGCCGACCTAGAGATCGTGAAGGCAGACCCGACATACGTGGCAGACAGAGAGGCGTGGAAGCAATACTCAAGGACGTTAGCGGACCTCGCCAGAGCGCGAGACAAACGCTGAAGAAAAAGAAGAAGAAGAAGACTAAGCTATACAGGTAGTCCTCAACTTACGATCACAATTGAGGGCAAAATTTATGTTGCTAATTGAGTTTTTACCCACTTTATGACTTTTCTTGCCACATTCGTTAAGTGAATCACTGCAGTTGTTAAATGGTTGTAAGTAGATGTGGCTTCCTCATTTACTTTACTGATCAGAAGGTTGTAACATGACCCTGAGACAGTGCAACTGTCATAAATATGAACCAGTTGTCAAGCATCTTAATGTAAAGCACAGGGCCATGGGGATGCTGCACTAATCATAAATGTAAAAAATGGTCATAAGTCACTTTTTTCAGTGCATTGTAATTTCAAATGGTCACTAAGCATACTGTTGTATGTGGAGGGCTACCTGTAGATTATGACTATAATTGTATTGCATACAACCACGAGGTCCTAATATAACCATAGCTTGAGGATTTGAGAATCCATTTCTATAGTTTTTAACCATAAAACATTATTTTTCTCTATATAGTGGTAACAGTGTGTAGTTAGTTTTTTTTTTAAAGCTGTCCTCCATTCACTGCGTTTAAAACCATTTTAAAATGCTGCAACAAAAATATCCGGCAAATAATTCAATATCGCAATGTATTTATTATCCTTTGAAATTTACAGCATGTAATACGGCTTCCCAGAAAACAATACTGAAGAATTGCCAATAGGTGGCGATATAACATCATCCACTTACCTCGCTGGGGAAAAAAAAATCCTAAGAAAGCTAGGGCTGGTATATATTAACTTTGCCCACATTTAGGGAATACCAACAGGACTTCTTGAGTTATATTCTGTAGATACTTTTATTTCCAGAGTAATAACCATGAATGCTTTTGAAAAAAAATTGCTTACCAATTGTCTTCTAGATGAGGGGCAGTGGGAGGATGGGTTAGAGCTGGGAGGACAAGGATACTTACATTGATTGCCATACAATTCTTTTGGAACAGTTGTGATTAAGCTGAACCTAAGAAGGTCCCAGGAGGTCAGGCAGTAGCACAATAAAAGATATCTTGAACTCTAGGGACAGTTTCAACTGTTTTCAAAGAAAGCTTTTTCTGAGAATTTGGCAAGAGCTGTTCCTGCTCGAGGCAAGAAATTATTCCCTTGCAGACAGATGCGTTCTAAACATGCTTGACAGAAACTCAGCTTCTCACTGAAATTGGGGAGAAAAGAGTATACTTTGAAATGGAAATAACACTAAACGATAGTTTTTTTTTTAAAGGGTATCCTAAGGATTAAACATCTGCTCTTATGGCAATCTTCTTTTTCTCTACATCTATTTATTTAATCAATATCATCCATTCAACATACATAACCACGTATCTGCATGTAACCAGAAACAGAATATATGAAACAAGGCAGTGGTGGGAATTTTTTTTACTACCAGTTCTGTGGGCGTGGCTTGGCGGGCGTCGCAGGGAAAGGATACTGTAAAATCTCCGGTCAGAGGTGGTACTTGCTGGTTCTCCGAACTACTCAAAATTTCCACTACCAGTTCTCCGGAACTGGCCAGA